CTAGTTGTTGGTGCACTACAGATCCAATCTCCTACCCAGAGTTCCATGCGGCAAGCCAGCATAGTACCTCTGCCACAGGCCAGAAAAATGTGACGATTCGTCACATCCTGCAATGTCCATTCAATATAATGTTCAGATTGTTTTACTCTTTTATTTTTGACGAGTCTACACATCTAACAAAACATCTTTAATATAATGGTTTAGTTAAACTGAGAAAATATCCAAAAACATGTAACACTATTTCGATTTGCGTAGTGATCCTTTGTTTACATGGGTTGTGCGGCTCCACCTGCATTCATCGAAACCGACGGAGAGCAAACGATGCAGCCAGTTTGATATCTAAATATGTACTGTCATAGACCTAACTGTCGCAGTTGTGGAAGAATATATATGTAACAATGTAAAACATTATGAAGAGAGTGCCGAAAAGCTTTCGTGGGTCCAGTCTCTTCTTATTATGAATATGCGCGTTTGATTACAAACAAGAGAAAAGTCCGGTCACGTGATATGCAACTTAACCTGTGGCAGTGATGTGATGTTAAGTCATCGCTGTGCCGGAGTGTGCCACAGATCGTGAACTTGTCAAAGTTCTGGAAACATCCGGGTACCCACGGAACAAATCGTACCGGCGAACTGACGGAGATCAGCGATGCACTAATCTTTAATAGTCTCGTTTACCTTTAAAGCAAAGCACTGTTGACAAGTGAGTGAGTTCACTATTAGCATCACATCGTCAATATGTCAGCCATATAGTGAGTGAATAGATTTTTTGCCGCTTCTACAATATTTAAACAATACACCAGAAAAGGGCTTCACACATTGTGTTGGACGGTGGGTGGCCTAACGGTTAAAGCGTCCGGGTTTGATTTCCGGGTTCGAATATTTTGTGTCTAACACACATTCACAACCGCACATAAGCACGAGCTCAACCAGACATAATCACACATACATTCTCACACTTAATAACACACAATATCAAACATAATCTCATACAATCACTCTCAAGCAATCTCACACATTTATATTCATACACGGAGACACACGTACACCAACGCAAACACCCCAAAACACATACGCACACACACAAACACACACACATACATAAACTCCACTGAAATATTTACCCAAGCATAAACCAGGCTCGCCTACCCGGAAGTGATATGAAATTACTGGCCACCTTGTATCTGTATGCCTTCTGCAGTGTGTCTATGATACAACAGAAACGACAAAATAAAGAAATATAACCAAGAAATACATTACGAATGTTGTCGCAGTCAAAATGAGACAGAAATAAATTAACAGTGAACCGGTTAGAAAACTGGCAGGAGCGAGAGCATCTATAACACCGTAACGATCACGTCTTTGTTAGCCGGACCGTTTGCAGAGATGCTTTTCCCAAATACAGTGTACACCAATATCATATTTGATGTAAGGGGCTGTTATTATGGCGATGGTCTTAATTTTAGTCTTCGTTTCCTTCGTTCTAAATGGATGACGTAATAACATATATTGCCCTCTTCCATAATCTCTGAACATCTGTAAATGTGTAAAATGGATGGTTGGGATTTTTGTAATGGCTAGTGGTACAGACGGTCGATACGGTTGAACTTAGCACGTCATGAATCAAATGCCAGATCCTCAACATCCCCAAATCTCAGCATTTTGCGAACATTTTTATGAAAACTGTGGAATATAGTCAATTGTGTCATTTCTCAGTTCCCCGTCCCTTTCCAGTGTCATTTCGATGCTCAGTTCCCCGTCCCTTTCCAGTGTCGTTTCGAGACACGTACTTTTCGATCAGATCTACTGTTGTAACAGTCTACAGTTATATCAAATTATAATTCAATATGGGGGAATATAGTGTAATGAAATCAATCAAAAGTCAGAAAAGAAATGTAGATAGTTGTGAGTGAGTGAGTTTAGTTCAACGCCACACTCAGCTACATTCCAGCTATATGGCGGCGGTCTGTAAATAATCGAGTCTGGACCAGACAACCCAGTGATCAACAACATGAGCATCGATCTACGCAATTGGGAACCGATGACATACAGTGTCAACCAAGTCTGACCACCCGATCCCCTTACTCTCATCCTACGATAAGCATGGGCTACTGAAGATCAGTTCTAACCCGGATCTTCACGGGTCTTATTTAAAGAAAGACAATAGTGTGCCAAATGATCGCTACCATGGCAAGCCTGTGATGTTTCACCTTTGCTTATGTAAGAGAGTAATGAATACGATGCTTAGGATGACAGAACTACCACATATCATACTATTTGTCGTAAATTTTAATAAGTTGCTTCAACGCTATCACTAATCACAGGACCGCCTCCGTGGTGTAGTGGTTAGAGCGTCCGCCCGGAGAGCGGAAGGTCGCGGATTCGATCCCCGACCGCGTCATACCAAAAGACGTTAAAATATGGTACTTGTTGGTCCCTGCCTGGCGCTCGGCATTAATGGGTACAACAAGGACTGGTCGGCACGGAGTCAGTATAATGTGTCTGAGTGGGGTATTCCTGCTTCACTGCGGCGTGGTATCTCAGTGGGCTAGCACTATAAAACCAGCTTCAGTCTGGGCTAGTACAAGCAGCCGCACCTACAGATACACACGCATGCACGTCATCATATGAGCGAAATATTCTCAAGCACGACGTTAAACCCAATTTCACCTCACCTCACCTCACCTTACCTCACCTTACCTTACCTCACCTCACCTCACCTCACCTCACCTCACCTCACCTCACCTCACCTCACCTCACCTCACCTCACCTCACCTCACCTCACCTCACCTCACTAATCACAGGGTATACTATTATTTGTATTCATCTCAATAATCTGAATATATGCACGTAGAGTGCACCTAAAGAAGAAAGTGTTTACCCTACCTGTACAATAGCGATGTCCCGTGTCTGTAAACGTCATAAAACGTGGGGATGAATGACATGTACTTATATCTTAACCCGTTTATGATGATACATGCTGTGATCTTTCACAATAATCTCTGACGATCATAACCGGTTATCAGATTGAGATGTAAACTTGAACACGCGAGACCGTCAGCGTCTATGTCAGGCTAAACGTCTACAAGATGTTTAGCAACACTGGGACGTAATTACCCATAAGCCTACTACTCCACTCAACGGAATATATATCCAGTGAGAAAGTCATCTCAGACAGGGCAAATTTACCTTCGCAATCTCAGTTCATGGATCGTCCATTTAGACAGGACAATCAAGGCGAATTTCTAAAACGCACGGAGTTCCAACATGCCCATGGTATACTTGTCGTAAGAGGCGACTAACGGGATTGGATGGTCAGGCTCGCTGAGTTGCTTGACACATGTCATCGTATTCCAATTGCGCAGATCGATGCTCATGCTGTTGATCACTGGACTGTCTAGTCCAGACTTGATTATTTAGAAACCGCCGCCATGTAGCTGGAATATTGCTGAGTGCGGCGTGAAACTAAACTCACTCACCCACTCAGAGAACGCTTGCCTTCAATCGATGCACCCTTTTAATTAAGAAGGGTCACGTGTAGGGCAATAATATTCCAATTATGTTCTGCCAATAATGTATTTTACAGTAGTGTTGCGCGAGCTGAATAAAACTTTGTAATAACGAGTTAGTTCGTGTGGGGTATTTGGCTGTGCTCCAAGAGAGACAAAGTGCCATTGTAAGGATATATAGGGACGTCTGCGAAGACAAGGGGGCAGCGCATCGCTCTTTGTTCACCACTGAAGTTTTTAATCCCTCGAAACAGGCACCTTACAAGATTTGCCAACACTGCAGAAAAGGCGTAACTAATACTGGGAGCAAGAGCAAGTGCACCTTAATAAGGCGTGTTAGCTTGCGTGTTGCTGCTTTCTCTGCCAGACCCTTTAGGTGATAAGATTAATGAGGTCACGTGAACATTGATTTCTAACGTACTAATATGTGTGAAAATTAAGTCACATGAACCATGTATTCCACATGATGGAAACATATGATCATCTTGTTTCAGCACCGGTAACATAAACACATAAAAACCGTTCATATACATATCCTTGATAATCAAACATTAGCATATTGTGTGGTGCGGTGGGTGGCCTAATGGCTAAAGCGTCCGCTCGTCACGCTGCAGTGAGACCCGTGTTAGATTTCAGGGTTAGAATATTTTGCGTCTAACACATTCACAACCGCATAAGCAATCACGTGCTCAACCAGACATAATCCCACACACAATCCTACACTCAATATCGCACACTGTCAAACATAAACTCGTACAATCACACTCAAGCAATCTCACACATTCATATTTACACACACAGACACACTCTTACGAACGCAAACATACAAACAAATACAATCTGAAATGACAATCACACACACTCCCACAAACACACACAATTGCACACAAACTAACACAGAAACCTGGTCACACCCACTCCCACAAACACACACACATACACACACACAAACTAACACAGAAACCTGGTCACACACTCCCACAAACACACACACACACTAACGAACACAGAAACTTGTGACACACAATCCAACATAAAAAAATGGACTGCAGAAAAACAGCCTCACCCAAACACATTCATGCACACACTAACAAACACAATCACACACAATCTGAAATAATAATCTCACACAAACTGACTGACTGACTGAGTTTGGTTTTGCGCCGCTTTTAGCAATATTCCAGCAACATCACGGCGGGGGACACCAGAAATGGGCTTTACACATTGTGCCCATGTGGGGATTCGAACCCGGGTCTTCGGCGTGACGAGCCAACGCTTTAACCATTGGGCTACCCCACCGCCCCACACACAAACAGCCTTGCCCAAACATACTAACACACACAATCACACACACGCATTCACACTAAAATATTTACCCAATCAAAGACTCGCCTACCAGGAAGTGATATGGAATTACTGACGACCTTGTACGGAGGTACAGCAGATGCTATTACAAGTTGTCTCTGTTCAGACCAAGTGAGTGCGGACACGCCAAGCAATTTTCCGGTGTACAGCTCTGAATAGCTTGGAAAATACACATAATTATTTCCATAAACCCGTGAGGTGGCATCGCGACAGCGGCTAACACAATCAGGTAGTTGCTCGTGTATAGTGTTTAGTAGCCAACACACACGGTAGTCTCCAGTGTCATGGTGCTTTAGAACACGGTGTCGACTAAACGATCCCTGAGTGAGTATGTTTTCATGTTATTGTGTTATTACATATACTAGGACTGGATAAGATGATCCACAATCGGAAATACCGTCGATATTAAAAATTATTCATGATTATCGATGTAAAATTATAGATAACATTGTACATTCACTTTAGTGACAGAAAAAGGTTTTTATTTACTCAAACATATACAAAGTTAGTTATTTCAATCATGGGATACTAAATTATGTTCAGGACGCTGTTTTGTTAATAATGCATGTATAAACATGGGTACACTCACCAGCGATGTGAATATATTAATTTCTTTCCAACATTTTGGAATGATGGTCAAAGTGACTTTTCCGATATTTATCGATATTCGATCGATATTTAGTTGAGGATTATCGATCTTCATGATCTCGATCGATAGCCAGCCCTAACATATACAGTTATAAAATGTAACAGAAACTATCGCTACTGTTATTGATTTCCATACATAACAGTACATTAAATGATAAACTATGTCATTGTGTAAGACTCTTTGCAGGATATCTGCCGGGGGTCTCCTGAGTGGATGTTTATTCAAACAATATTTGAAAACTTCTTTGAGCGACATTTAGAAGTTGGTGTGATGAACAAAGAGGAGAGTTCTATGGATATACAAATTCTTTAATATTAATATGAGCGACGTTTCGGTGTAGCTACTAACTCCGTTATCAAGCAAGTCATCGCTTGCTTGATAATAGTGTTAGTAGCTACACCCAAACGTTGTTCAATATTTGAAACGTATTTCAGTTACATCACGTCCCGAAATGATATTGATCTTTAAAAGTTTAACTTACTTTTATTAAACCTACAAAAAAACAAAAACAAAAAACAAAAGAAAAGAAAAACAAACGGTTTGATACTGACAAGTCATGGCGTACTAAACAAATGTTTCATTATTCTTTGTTCAAGAATTGATTTTTTGTTTAATCTTATGCACAAAATGTAACAAAGCGTGCATTTAACTAAACTGTTGCTCTGTTCCGCTGCAGTGAGTGAGTGAGTTTAGTTTTTCGCCCCGATCATCAATATTCCAGCTATATGGCGGCGGTCTGTAAATAATCGAGTCTGGATCAGACAATCCAGTGATCAACAACATGAGCATCGATCTGCGCAATTGGAATACGATGATATGTGTCAAGCAACTCAGCGAGCCTGACCATCCGATCCCGTTTGTCGCCTCTTACGACAAGCATGGGTTACTGAAGATCGATCGATGCTCATGCTGATCACTGGATTGTCTGGTCCAGACTCGATTATTTACAGACCACCGCCATATAGCTGGAATATTGCTGATCGCGGCGAAAACTAAACTCACTCACTCACTCACTCACTCACTCACTAAAGATCAATTCTAACCCGGATCTTCTCGGGTATTATTGGAGCTCAAATGAGTGAGTACAGGTTACCTAGAGAGTAAAGACTGTGCATGTTTTGTAATGTCACGGAGTTCCATCATTTCCGAACTTGCAATGTGAGTGAGTGAGTGAGTTGGGTTTTACGCCGCTTTTGGCAATATTCCAGCAATATCACGGCGGGGGACACCAGAAATGGGCTTCACACATAGTACCCATGTAGGGAATCGAACGCGGGCCTTCAGCGTGACTGCAATGTGTATCTAATCGAAAAGGTAATATTCCAAAAACATTATGATCACAAATGACTTAAAAGATTTAATATTCTTTTTTAAAACAAACAAACAAACAAACAAACAAAACATATTAAAACAATCTATTAGCGGCAGTGCTGTACTGTGCACTGAATTTTGAAAAAGTACTCATTAATTGCATGAGTTATTCAATGCCCCAGTTGTGCCCTGCCCGTAACAAACTAGTTGTTTTCTCTTAACTCCCATCGCTGTACCAGGAAGTCGCAAACAGTCTTTAAAAACACAATTAGAGGGGAGAGGCGGCTCTGGTTACAGAGTCTCATTGTTGAGAAAATGTTGGGGGTTCCCCCGTGTGTTAGATGAACCTTTATGACCCGACCAACAGACAAGACGGAGAGTCGGATCAGTTGTATACGTGGCATTTGGTGCATGAGTGCGTGAGATGGATTTATGCCCAACGAGATACATTTTCTTTTGAATTGCTATTTTTATGCGGATCTTAGATATCATTTTATAAATGGAGATTTTAATTATGATAACAACGTGCATTTATTAAAGGAGAATACGAACGAGAACAAAACTTTTGATATATTGTAAAGGATATTCTAAAAGTCACATTCCGTGATTAAAATTGAACAAAAAGTTTGTAAAATAGCAATAAAAACACAAAAACGTACTCGTATTTCCGCCTCTTACGGAAACACCCGACAGTTAATGAGCAGAGGGGGTATCACGTGACATGACGTCATAAGTGCCTGTTGCTGATGGCTTCCTCTTTGATTTTACCTCACAACTTAACAGTGTCCGTGGATTCTGAAGTAGTAAAAGATGTTCCTGATGTAATTTCTGAAATGGATGTTAGACCGTATCAATACGAACCGATTTTACATCTTGCAAGACAATCTTCCACAAGATGAAAAAGAGGAATCAAGCGAAACGGAGGCACCGTTTGAGGTCAAAAAATATTTAAAAATAGATCATATCATTTAACAAGATTACTATTTGTCAGCAAAATGTCATACAGTTCCAGCCAGCAAACTCACCCCTATAAATATATCACTATATATAAGAATTATTTTTTTAAAATGTGATTACAGTTCATTTTGTGTCAAATGGGTGACTGTAGGGTGTCTGGGATTTAAAAACAAAATAATAATGCTCCAGACGAGGGAAAATAAAAATTATCTGCTTCAAAAATTACACTGGAATTATTTTGTTGAAAAACATTAGGATCCTAGTTGACATTAATAACGTATCAAGTCTCGATACAAGATCCCAGCCTGGTCGAGCAGAGATAATATTCGCGACGCAGATAAGTTATTCCCCGAAAACTGGTGAATTGTAAAAAATACTAGTCAGGACAACGTATGTCTCCCCATTGTTTGGTTATGGAAATAGTTATGGTACTCGGTCATAGCCTTAGAATGACATCGTGTCAGCCAATGAGAATACAGAACAACTTTCACGGCACACACTACCGACAAATAGCGAGTCTGATGCCGACGTGCGTAATTGGACAAAATGGAAAACAATGAAAGCAACAAGTACTTCATGATTTGCCGTTGTATTCGGCAATGTTTCGGGTAGTCTGCAGCATTTAGGGCTCCAAACCGAAAAGAACGTTATAGCGAAACATTTTCAAGCTCATTAGAAATCTCTTACTGATTTTGATAATATATATCTCATGTGTACCAGTCGAACTGCCCCAGCTACAAAATGCCCCAGCAAATTTGGTCATTCATTCTAATTTGTTCAAATGTATTTATAATGATTGAGTATATGCCGTAAATGCATAGTTTTTGTCAACTTATTAAGATATTATGTTCTTCATATAAAAGTTATTAGGAAGTAATATTTCTGATAAATGTTTCATTAGTAAACTCATAACTATGTATATACTTATATATGAAGAACATAATATCAAAGTTGACAAAACTATGCATTTATGGCCTATATTTAGTAATTTTAAATAAATTGGGGCATTTTGACTACCCCACTGGGGCAATTTGACCAAATTTGCTGGGTCATTTTGTAGCGGGGGCAATTCGACTGGCAACCGGACTTGATTTAATGTATGTTAAAAATACCACTGTCAGTAAGTTGTTACAGGGAATGATGGAGTATAAATGAATCTCGTGGGTACTTTTTCATTCGTATTCTCCTTTAAGTATTTTAATGTCCTCAGACCCGTTAATTTTATCAACCACTGTAAATAACATGTTTAGAAGACAACTCCTATTCCTGTACAAAATATTATCCATTTGAACTACTACTTATACATTACTTTAAAACATAGTTTTGGTTTGTGTATAGTGTCTGATAAGCCTTGTTGGCTGGGTAAGCGATATTTTACTGCGTCTATTGTGTATTTTATTTCATGTAATCGTTCACGTGACACTTTAAAAAACTATTAGGGCTGCGCAATATAACCGGTTTACCGATATTTACCGGTTCAGACATGAAAACGATACGTATTGCGATACACTGATCGAAAACCGGTATTTTGACATGCATTCGGAAAACTTCGTAACACTCGGAAATCTTCGGATATTTCCGTTTTTGAATTGTTCTTTTCCCTGTTTCATTAGTGCCAAATGTTACTTACATTTTTATTTTGTCATGATTAAAAGTTTTTATAAAAGGTTAATCAATCATAGTGATTTTGTTGTGTTTTTGCTTTATAATCAGGCATTAACTCGATTATAAGTAGTTTTTGTTAAAAAAATAATCCTTGCAATATATTGCAATACATATCGCAATATATGCTTCCGCATCGCAATATATCGCAATATGAAACTTCTCTGCAATACCCACCCCTATAAACTATATCTGTATGTCTGTCTGTCTATCATCATTTTACGCCGATTTTAGCAGTATTCCAGCAATATCACGCGGGTGACACCAGAGTGAGAGAGCGAATTTAGTTTTTCGCCACTTTTAGCAATATTCCAGCAATATCACAGCGGGGGACTCCAGAAATGGGCTTCACACAGTATACCCATGTGGGGAATCGAACCCGGGTCTTCGGAGTGACGAGCGAACGCTTTATCCACTAGACTACCCCACCGCCCCGGTGACACCAGAGATGAACGTCACACATTGTACCCATGTGGAGAATCGAATCCGGATCTTCAGCGTGACGAGCGGACGCTTTAACAATTAGGCTACCCCACCGCCCACAGGCACTTTAAAAATGGCATTGGTCCTTGCTGGTACATCATGTATTGTTAGGAGTTTTTGTCTTTATATCATTCATCCTAGTCGGTCATGAAAGTCCTGACCAGAAAATATCAACCGAAATAAAGTGAGTGATCTGATGAGCAGAGCCCAAAGTATCCGGGTAGGATGACACGCCTTTTACCATGTCAAGGGGGAAATACCGATTCCACGTAGAAGTATGGTGATTCGTCCTCTAATGACTTGGCAATCAATGAAAAATGCAATATAACAGCTGAAAACCTGAAGCGCGGTTATTACATTCAATGTTCCTGATTTTGAAATATTTTGTTGCAAACGTTTTTCAATGAAACCACATATATTTTGCATTATCCATGAATGTTATCTTTCACTTGTACACTTCAACTACAGTTATTACGAACTTAAAGGGACCACTAATTGTAGTTCGTTATAGCTGTATTTCTTTATAGCAGTAGTTCGTTATAACAGTAGTTCGCTATAACAGTAGTTCGTTATAACAGTAGTTCGCTATAACAGTAGTTCGTTATAACAGTAGTTCGTTATACTATAGTTCGTATAACAATAGTTCGTTATAACAGTAGTTCGTTATACCATAGTTCGTATAACAGTAGTTCGATATAACAGTAGTTCGTTATACTATAGTTCTTATGACAATAGTTCGTTCTAGCCGTATTTCGTTGTAACCATAGTTCGTTATAGCCTGATTTCGTTATAACAGTAGTTTGTTCTAGCCGTAGTTCGTTATAACAGTAGTTTGTTCTAGCCATAGTTCGTTATAACAGTAGTTTGTTCTAGCCGTAGTTCGTTATAACAGTAGTTTGTTATAGCCGCAGTTCGTTACAACCATCTGGTGTGTTCGGTATAGTCTTTATTGTAAGTATCTTTAAGTTGATCATGGAAAACGATCCGACGCCCGTAATGTGATCATATGAGAAGTGTTCCTGATTTCATTAGAAAGTCGTCAATCATGTCGTTTTCTTTTTGAAAACTGGAGCATAATTAACAAGGAAATAATTCGCCGAGGCATTACCGGACAGCTCCCAAAACATAGTTTGAATGAGTGAGTTTGGTTTTAGCAATATTCCAGGAATATAACGGCTGGGTACACCAGCAATGGGCTTCACACGCTGTACCCAAGTTGGGAATCGAACCCGGATCTTCAGCGTGACGAGCGAATAACATAGTTTGAAAAAGGATAAATATGATAACATTTGGTCTAATGAACATTGTAGGAGGAGGTGTAGATTTCATTTCACATTTTGTATTCTCAGTAAACAACCAATCTATGCATTTCAAAGAAATAGAAATGCTGAGATTTTCAAATCAAATCATATACATCAATTAGCTATTGTATAATTATTTAAGTGACATATGAGGAAGAAGAAAAGGATTGTATGGATTGCTAACTTCCTCAATGCAGTAGAGGCAACCTCCTCAATGATATAAAGTCAATTATTCTTCATGTATATATGTTCCTTGTGTATAATGCCGTGTATAACTTCCTTGATAACGGTGTTTGCACCTGCACCGAAATACACGTTATTGCCCTAAAGAGGTTGTCAATCTTTAAAACTTGTTTTTATTAATTATTTTGTCTTCATTGTTCAGATATTGCGAAATGATCTTCCTTCAAGTGGCTGGTCTGTATCTGTTCACACTACTTGTCACGATACCCGGATGTACTTCCACGAAAATGCATTTCCTCGGTCACATGGTGTGTATAATGGATGTCGTAAAACACACTTCACAACATTTGTCCTTTATACATTATATATGACTCATTTGTTTGTTTGTTTTGTTGTTAAACCACAAACGCAAACGGCGGTCTGTAATTAGTCGAGTCTGCGCCAGACAATCCAGTGACTGACATCATGAGCATCGACCTACGCAACTGGAATACGATGACATGCATCAAATGTCAGCGAAACTGACCACTCAATCCCTTTAGTCGCCTCTTACGACAAGCATGGGTTGCTGAAGACCAATTCTAGCTAGGATCTTCACTGTTGACTATCAAATAAAATAACACTCACCCAATTTTAAGAATTTATATAAATAATATCCTACTAAATACATAAAGGGAAAATTTGTTCATTATTTCGAATATACTATCGAAGTTTGCTGACATATTTGCTGCCAATAACTGCAATAAATAACCATTTTTTAACCAATCTCTTGATAAGCTAATCCCGCAGCCTATGTCAATACCACCCTGCAGTTTATAGCATAACGTAACCTGCTGCTTGTGTACTCTGATTTCTTTAGAGCACATCTGATACAACTAAACAAGTAATCAAGCTTTTCTCAATGGTTGAAAGGCCTGAAGTACCACGTGATATAATTGGTCACCTTGACAACCAACTGTGACGTATTTATAGGAAAACGTTGTATGACATCCTATAAATGTATCGTCAAATGTTGTTGTACATCTTACTGAAGATCGTCTCGAGGATGTCGCTCAAAGGAGATGTTAAAGTCATCCCATGGAATTGCTCAATAATGTGATCAGGACGAGTAGTTCTTGAAAAGTCTTCATCTAATTTCTTCGCTGTTAAATAGCATGTTTGAAATACATTGAAATCTTTATGACAGATACAAATTTAAGTCGAATAGTCCTGTGATATATTACTGATATTCTATGTGGTCATCGATCTCATCCATCAATATTTTATGATATTCATTCACTCATACATTCATTCATTCACTCATTCATTCATTCGAATTGAGTGTTTGATTGATTGATTCAGTGGTTTATTCATTCAGCTGGTTCAATAATGTTGAATCACTGAAACAATGGTTCTTGTAAGTCAACAACAGCAAGCGCTCAACTGGAAATCATTTAATATTCTAAATACTAATATTCCTAAGTTTTCTGTAGATATGAAATTGGACAAATTTCAATTTGCCAACTATCATTAGTAACTCAAAGGTTATTTAAACAGGACAGTTTACTATACATACACAACTTAAACGTTTTACCAGGTTCAACTCAAGAGGAAATATGTGTTGAATTGCGTTCTTTATATTGTTTAGATCAAGGAAATGGAAGATGAATATCGAAGATCATGTATCACTGAAGATCACCAATCAATGCTGGATCTCTGCAGATCAACAGGAGGTGACACTCTCGGGCTAGCCACTCGCATACAACGAGTGCCTCAGTATTCTGTCTGCACTCTCAAGAAACGCGTTGATAGATGTGCCTGGTGCTTAAATGGGACATGGAATCTTGCATCATGTGAAAAGGGTAAGTTACAATATATACTATAAAACTTATATAGACTCTGTTGTCATGGTGTTTGTTCATATTGTCATGACATCCACATTCCTATTCACGCTCACACCAAAGCTACGCTCACACCAAAGCTACACTCAGGGCAAACACATCATCAACGCAAACCCGTGAAGATTCGGGTTAGAATTGATCTTCAGCAGCCCATGCTTGTCGTAAGAGGCAGCTAATGGGATGGGGTGGTCAGGCTCGCTGACGTGGTTGACACGTGGCAACGTATCCCAATTGCGAAGATCGATGTTCTTGATGTCGATCACTGGATTGCCTGGTCTACACTTCGTCGATTATTTACAGACCGCTTCAATATGGCTGGAATACTGCTGATTCGGCGTTAAAAACAAGCAAACAAGCAAACAAACAAATATCGTTATCACAACGTTGTGGATGCTACGTTCTAACATGTAACGTTGCATCACGTATCATCTCATAGTATACATGGCATGGATTTAAGTCATGTTCTTGAACACGAACATATCGCTCGAACGCAAAGTGCTTCGCGGAACAGAGAACGACACGATCAGACCGCGCAGAAACCATATCGATAAATCAACACAATACTTCAATGTTAGTTGGCATAAACTAATAACTAAATGTGAGAATACAAGAAGTGATGAGAAATCATAACGGGCATGGCAATTAAAAACAAAAGTATATTATCATGCAATGTTATAGGAATGTTAAGGAAAGGTCATGCACTCACATACCATATATTGTGTTTTATAATGTATTTTCATAATGCAATTCCCTAACCTTGCTTCAACGACAAGGAATCGTGTACCAACCTTGTGGGAATTTGGTTCGCTGGACCTAACCCACACAGGGATGAGAGAGTGAGTGAGTATAGTTTTACACCGCGTTTAGCAATACACCAGCCACACCACGGCGGCGGACACCAGAAATAGGCACCACACAAAATGCCCATGTGCGGAATCGAACTCGGGCCTTCGGCGTGATGAGCGAAAACATTAACCACTAGGCTACCCTAACGATCCTTCATGGATGAAGATATAATAATGTATAAACACCTAAAGCCATCAACTGTGTAACATTGTTCCTTCTAACAGGCAGAAGAAGGAAGAAAAGATCGTTTTGGTTCCTGGATGATTCCATCAGCGATTGTTCCTTGTTTTGTCAGAGGCGACAACCAGGGCTTCTCGGTAAGTTCTACTTTCCCTTTTTCGGCCGACAGAAAAGGAATACATGCAAGCGCTTCCCGTTTGCAAGATTAACAAGGTTCCTTGTTAAGATGATATTTCGTAGGGACATTCTTTTCACGAACACTTGCTCCAAGCATTGACTATCAGTGAACCATGCATAAACTAAACGCCAAAAGAAACGTTACCCTCCTTCCTTAATGACGGAGGTACCTATCTTCAGCTGGCGTTGTGATGCGTTGTATATCTATAGAACTCTCCTCGTTGTCCACTTCTTGGTCTGTCTACGGTTATCCCAGTCTGTCTGAAGCCCTGAATAAGTCTTATAACCGTGATACGGTGGCATCCGTGGGCGTTGGCAACATCATTGTATGTCGACCCCATCTGCACCATCCCAATGGCTCTTTTTCTCCCTTCAGCTGTTAATCGTGGCATATTTCTTGTACTTCTGTATCAGATCATGTTTTCTAGGCTCTCTTTATACCCTATAGAATCGTTCTGCATGTTAATGCTGTCTGAATATTGCTGCGTTTTGGCGATTGATATCGCTATGTGTAAAATGGGAATGGAAAAATGTTACTTTGCAAGCAAAAATGTTAACAACGAGCCTAAACATTTTTTCACAATAAAAAGTTTGTTTTCACTAATGCAAATCAGCAGAAAATGTTTGAAAAGACTGAAATCATAGCAATGATTATTTTACAATTTTACACACTCCACAACAGTTGTTTCTTGTTTTAATAGTTGAAAAATGGTGACTTTAAATGGTTTATCATTGTCCCAAAGCAGAATTTTATTTCAACCTTTCTTTTGGACATCAAAATCACTATTATTGGTTTATTTCGGCATGGACGAATATAGGACAATTTAACTCTTCTGAAAAAAGATGCATTTCACCAAAATATGAATACATTTGAGATTTGTTTTCCGTGATTTGCATAAAGCTGTGTTGTTAAGCTTTCTTGTAAACTAAAACCTTCTAAAATATCTTTGATAGTTTTTCAGTAATTCATAAAAATAGGAGGGTAACGTTTCTTTTGGCGTCTAGTGTATATGTTTTACTGTTATGAAAATCTGATCAATCGGATAATTTAGACATGTTATTTTTTGGCACGGACCTTTGATGGTATGATTATGGAAAAGGTTTTGAGTGAGTGAGTGAGTTTAGTTTTACGCCGCATTCAGCAATATTCCAGCTATATGGCGGCGGTCTCTAAATAATCGAGTCTGGACCAGATAATCCAGTGATCAACAGCATGAGCATCGATCTGCGCAATTGGGAACCGATGGCATCTGTCAACCAAGTCAGCGAACCTGACCACCCGATCCCATTAGTCGCCTCTTACGACAAGCATGGGTTACAGAAGATCAATATTCTAACCCGGACCTTCACGAGTCGAAAACATTTTGAAACTTATATTTTCATTCGGTATCATTATCAAGATTTATGATATCATCACTACATTCTTTCAGAAAGCAGACATGTTTTTTTTCACAATAAAGTTACAGCGTAGTCGAGTAGGTTCTCGACAGATCTTTGAACTGTATATACTTCCCTTCACCTTAAAATGACACGTTTATTTGTTTAGAGTGTTTTCTCAATATTATGAGTTGGGAGAAAGATAAATAAATATTTTAATCAGTTTACATTAAAGACATATATCATCAGATGCTTTTTCTGTACATTCATGTTTTGAGACGAGCGATAGCTGTTGCATTTTGGTAACCAGACTACCCATAGAATACATGTATCTGGTCCTCGCTGAATATTTGGTGTCCGTCAAATTACACCCAGCACTTCTGGATTACATCGAGTTACTTTTTTGAATCAGCATGTAGTTGAGTCCGTTTATATTGGGTAATGGTTAGTACCAAATATTGATTTTGTTAAAGGGTTTATCTCTCCGACATTTTCAAGCTGCACATCGCCAAAGACGCCATTTTATGTGAAAGGAGGACGGACAACCACTCGCGTCACGTGGACAGTACCTGTAGCACATGATGGTCAAGGAAAGAGTGTCAGGTCAGTATTTCTAACAGATGTCGTATTGGGGATCAGGTGGTCAGGCTCGGTGACAGGGCTGACTGCGTGTACCCGACAGCCTGGTTAGGTGTTCACGATATCAACCACTGTTTTTCTGGTGAAGGTCGACGTCATGTAGCGAGACTGATTCAATATACATTTTGCAAGGTATAATGATGGGTTGTTGAGTCTGATAGTTTAGATAGCATCGGACATAAGACTGACCATCAAACCCGTTTTTGCAACAATTACTTTGAACAGATTTATGAATATAATTTCAACATATTAAGAACGAACGATAAGTATCGACAGCGACAAATGAGGCTTAACCATCTCAGGCGTCGAATCTCGCGAGGCGGAGTTGCCTTCCTAGGTCACGTCAAACAGCTGGTATTGTCAGTTCGAATCCTGATTTGCTCCTGATTATGTTTCTTGGTTTGTGTGTGCCATACCTATTCCCATGAGTGTATTTATATATGTAACAGTGAATATGTCAAATCAGTGATGTTGTAAAATCACTGACAATTTCAGGGATGTTATAAAATCCCTGATTCACTCGGTAGTTTCACAAAATCCCTGGAATTCCTAAGGATTTAACAAAATCCCTGCAAGTCACGACAATTGTTTTTACATATTCCCCGAAATGAATACATTGCATACTCAGTGTTTGTTTTGACAATACTGCTTGTAATAAGTAAAGACAAAAACGTGTACAACAGCAAAAGAATTTTTTCTTCTGCGTTGAAATGAAAATAGTTGCATAAATATGTTATAAAACAATATCAAATAATTTAACATATAAGTGACAAAAACAATATCTATCACTATCAGATGCAATGGATCAGAGTACCCGCTGTGATATCAATTTGAAACAAAGTCACGTCAGTCAAACAACACTCATATGTATCAACATTTGTTTTTTTGGAAGAGAGGGAAGAGCGACATCGCGAATTACCCATAACCCGTGCCTTGTAACATTTGCACCTTTGTGTCTGACATCTTTTTGTGCCTCTACTGTTACATTTCACAAACCCCTGCCCACCACGGGACTGCAGTTATCAGCGGTACAAGTTTGACACACACACACACATCAAACTGGTTGCGTGAATACTTTCCACACAAGACACCGGCTTTTACAGC